AGATAGATAGATAGATAGATAGATAGATAGATAGATAGATAGATAGACAGACATACATACATACATACATACATACATACATACATAGAACAGCTTCCTGTTGTATTCTCACTGTGTTTACTGAACTAGTACAATGGGGAGATTTTTGTGAAGCATGAAAGCTTTGCGCCATTTAGTGAGGAAATTTGCATTTCAGTGGCTTCGAATCTTGTCAAAGTCAAGGACGGTAGAATGAATAAATAGTATCATATCGCGGGAGTACAAAGCCGAGCTTCCTTCCCAGTTTTCTCTCAGATGTCTCACTAAGCGGCACCTGCATAAACACAATGCTGAGGCTGTCTCCCTGTGTTTTCCCCCCTAATTAAAAAATTTACATCCAGGCATTCTCTCTTTTTTTTTAATGTGCTGTTGGAGAAAAATAGATATAAAGAATAAACCCGCTGAGTGGAGACGCTCTCCACCCTCGCTGGATGATTTTCCCCAGACTAACGCCGACAAAAGGCCAGGCCTGGAAACGTAAAGGGCAGGAGGGGCATAAAAAGTGTTTGGCGCTGGAAGATAAAAGCCATCATTAGGGAGTGAAATGAGATAGGAGGAATAAACTGGTGGAGAGTGGTCCTGGTTTTCTGTATATATTGTCATTCAGCTAAACTGTGCTTCATCTAACAGTCAGCACAGAGAAGAATGAGGTCCACGCAGGCTTTTATGTTCTATATTTCGCTGCCTCTGAGAGGCATTTCCAGACTTACAAACCACTCCATTTACCTGAGAGGACGGATTGCCCTCCCTTTTATTCATTTCTTAAAATAAGTGAACACCCTAAGCGCCCTTCTTGTTTCAACCGAGGACAAAAATGGCTTTGAGGCTGATGTGAAGATGACAAAACGTGACACAAACTGCCACGGTTTTGTAAAAAAAAAACACACAAAAAAACACATTAAGCCTACAATTAAGGCACCTCTTAACATTTAGGGAGAATTGGCTGAAATCCTGCATCATCATTGTGTATCGTGGCTCATTTTATAGTTAATATCAACTAAAACGGCTGATTTTGAGCCCAAAAAACTAACAAAAAAGTCTGAGTGGAGGCCAGTAAGTGTGCACAGTGGTCTGTGTCACAGAAAAGACAGAAGAGATACACTAATTTTAATTCTTCATTCAAGAAAAAAACCTGAGAAAACATTCAGAATAGAAGTAAGAGCATGACTATTATTCAATGAAAGAAGAAAGGGAAAATAAATAGGACTTCCTGGAGTATCTTATCATGGCCATGAAAATATATTTTAAGATCATATTCTGTTTTTAAGGTCAGTAATCAATTTAAAACTAAATTCAATTCCATCTTAGTTATGTTTTCAAATGAGTATTTCACCTCTTTTGACCCCAAATGGAGGTTTTGTGATGGTATTTGGAGTATTTCTGATTCTAATTGTGAATGTTTGTATTAAACTTTGAAATATCAAAGATGTGGAAAATGTTAACTAATAGTATGAAAAGCCTTTTATAAAGTATGTTGCTATTGTTTACTCAATTATATAATGAAACCTTTCCTCTTTTTCCAATAGGCAATTGTTCCCCATTGGGGGAAATGTAAAAAGCTTTTTTTTTTTATACATATATATTTTTCATCGTTTAAAAAAAACCTCTTGATTATTCTAATTTCAGGAGTAAAAACTGTCATTTTAAGCAATTTTAATGCCACGTCAGAGAAGTGAAATGATGGAGAAAGAGCAAATATTTGCGTTTTTGAATTTCCATTGAGCAGCATTACCGTCCTCGTGCACATCCACGTGCATGCAGTTTGACGTGGGAGGCAAAAAGTACAACCATTACAATATGGAGACCAGGAGAGATGCAAACACCCACACAGAACACATGACATTTACTCCTCAAATGCCCCGACAGCCTTTATGATGGCAGCAGGAAGCTAACAGAGCATCTTAGTTTTTTTTAGCATAAATCGGAGTATTATGATCACTATCAGAGTAAAATGTGCTCCAAAAGGAAACCAAAGAAGAGATTAACTTCAGTGAGGACTAATTTAATTTGTATTTTGGCTAATTTGTTTATCATCTGCTCATAAAAGCTGCACTACCTGCATTTTTACACCAATTTTTTATGCACACACTCGACAGAAAATGCACTAATCTCCATCTGGAGGCTTCAATCTGTGTGTTTTAACTGCTCCTAAGAATATCTGTCACCTTGGCAGCATCCTTTGGGAGGTCAAAGGGGATCCGCTGGCGTATTTTAGGGGGCAGCTGGCTGAGGACTTCATCTTTCAGGCGGCGGATCATAATCTGGCTCAGACACTGGTGGAGTTCCTTCAGGTTGGACGCCCCCCGACTGTCCCACTGCCTTCGAGATCCAAAATATCTGCAGAGAAAAAAGGAAATAAGAGTTTAAACTGTTCCGGCTGACGCAGATGCCTCTCGAGAAAGTTTTAAACCCACATTTGTACTCGAGGTAAAGTAATATCTAAGGACATAAAAGCTTTCCCACACCAGATTTTCATCGTTTACCACTGAGCATCTATGCCCGAGCAGCCGGGAGAACCCACTTTTTGTTGTGTTTTTTTTTGCTCAAGGGCACTTTGCAGAGCAGGAAACTATTCTGTCCAATCTTTAAGGCAACTTTTTACCATTTATCAGCCAAACGGGTTGTGAGAATTAGTCCTGGCTCTCTGCACAAAGGCTGGTTTTCTGCCATGTTGGCTGAAAGTGTCCACAAACTTCACACGGCACTGCCAACGTTTTTTAGCTTCACACTTCAGTGTCTAAAGTTTGAGTTGAGGAGAAAACTACTTCTTCTAAAAACACGCATCCTGAACTAGCAACTTTTGTTAACCAGCGTTAGTTCTATCTAAACTGATTCGACCCATAAAGGCTGCTCAGATGGAGCTCAGGGCGGCCTTCCCCGGCCGAGTTGCCAACTTTGATGGACACCCAAAACGATGCGTTTGATGTGTTTGTTCACACGTGTAACTGATCGTCTCTGAAAGCCGGCGGCCAGCTGGCACCTCGGTGGTTTGGCCTCCGATAGAGCCTGGAAATCACAACAAAACCCGGCAAAAAAGCACCGGCCCCACTCCGGTTTCAGGTACAGCCCGAATCCGGACAGCCACATATCAAACGGTCGGAGATATATGAAGAAACTGGGCAGTATGGGATGTAGAACGACCACAGGAGGGGGGAAATCTGACTTATTATCTCTCCATTTTACTGGTGAAACGAATCAGAGGTGGAATTAGATTTGTTTAATGTTATACACACTTATTAACTGTTTGATAGCATGACTTTGATTTCAATAACAGATAAATGTCTCTGTATTAACATAAAAAAAACTCCCAAACAGACTCCAGGCTATAATTAAAGTCAAAGTATGCAGTAAACTCATAAGGGTCTGAATATTTCCTGTGAATGGAACATTTTAGTTATGAAATATCAACAAATCATTTGTGGTATTTTGTCATTGTTGTGTGCAAAAAAAACATGTAAGTTTAATTAAAGAATGTGTTAGAAATTTGTATTGACCCTGTTATTAGCCATTTAAGGAAGAGGCTTCTACTTTAATGAAAAAGGAATTTAAAAATTATTTTTGAAGATTTAACAAAGGCCCGGAGGATTAAAAAAGTCCCAGTAAAGTAGGAGAATTAGAAAATGAGCAGACATTTGGAAAATGTCACCTGAAATGGCCGTTGCAGTATTTCTTGGAGTAGTCTGTCCAGGATCCAAACCTTTTGGGAAAGAGGGCGTCAATCTGCATGAAAAGCTGTGGAGGACACAGACGGGTTAAAAGAATTCAAGAAAAACTCACTAAAACAACAAATAAATGCGAGTTTATGTGCATCAGTGCAGGTTCAAGCTTTCCACAAACGGAAAGCTTGAATTTATTAGTTATTGTCTTTAATAATTAATACACTTTCTTTCTTTGTTGGCTGATAATTATTGGCTGCATTTGCCCTGAAACTGAAAAGATTTATTTATTTTGAATTTAGGAGGCATTACAAATGTGTTATGGCCTTTTAAACTATGAAAAAACATTCAGTTGCAAATTAGTTACTCATTCCTTTGGCTTTTTTGCAGAATTGCTTAAATAAAACTGTTTACTTATTCTTATTAAACATATCTAATGCGTTTAAAGAGGGGTATCAGTAGCTATCAGCTCTATACTCTTAATGTGCACAAACACAAACAAAACTATTTTCTTTTTACACGAAGAAAATAACAAAATCACCCTTTTAAAATCAGTAAAGTTCATTGAATTAACCAATAAACACAAACCCACAATGTCAAGGATGTTTTTTAATACGGTACCATTATGGTATTCTTTACTTTTCTATTGTAAAGCATTTTTTAAAAAGTTGAACTCATCAACATTTTCCAGATTAATATATTTCTGAAGGCAAAGAAATCACAGTTACGGGAACTCTGTTTTTCACCTAAATCCAACAGAAAATGTCACAGAAGGAGGATTTAAAGGTCGTTTGGGTTGAAAAATGGGCCAAAGTCATACCTGATGTGGACATCTAGGGGGAGAATTACTTTTTTTTTTTTTTAAATCAGTCCAATAATCCTCATTAAGCAGCGTGTGTGTCTCCATCTGTGTGTTGACATATTTCTCACCTATTTAAGGCTGTGCGCAGTCAAAATTTGAGTTTTAAGGGTGTTTTATGCCTGTAGTAACACTTATAGTTGGCAGTTTTTCCCAAGGTCCTGCTGTCCTTTGCCTGCTTTACTGTGGTCGTCATTAGAAATAACTGCTGTGGGGATCTCAAAATCTAATGACGCAGAGAAAAGCAGCTTTTTCTGCCGTATAATTTCAGAAAATAAAGAACGAGCCTAAAAAAAACGAGTTTGTGCCAGAGCCAGAGCGTCCTGGTCATCCTCGTTTCTCCCCGAATCCACGAAGAGATGCTCTAAATTCAGCACTTGTTCATTTCATTTAATTTATTTTGAAACATAAGATGTAACAATGTTTACCTTGAATGCTTCATAAACATGCATCATGTTTCAAACAGCAGTAGGATGAAGCATAAGCTTATTAAGCCCTACCCCTCAGTCACATGTGTCATGGTGGTAAAGGACAATTATTTACAGTAAGACAAACAGTATACCAACTTTTTATATATTACTATTTTTTGTATTCATCAAAAATACTTTTCTTATATTCTTTTTGAATTGCTGGATGCTTTTACATTGTTTAATGTGTTAAGGAAAGCTGTTCCAGAGCTTCACTCCGCTAATTATTGATAAACTAAAGCTTCTTTTTGTTGTTCGAACATCCTTAGTTTTGAAATTTAATTTTCCTCTTAGATTATATTTTCTATCTCTATCAGAAAACACTTGTATGTGCGCAGGAAGTAAGTTATTTCTTGCTTTATAAAGAATTTGAACAGTTCTGAAATTGATCAGATCTACAAATTTAAGAACCCCTTGAATCAAGGAATAAACAGTGAGTGTGATTTCTATAATGTTTGTTATTCGTTACTCGAATTGCTTTCTTTTGCATAATAATCAATGTTTGTTTGAATGTTTGTTTTGTAAGTGTGACCCCACACTTCGACACAATAGGTTAGATAGGGCTGAAACAATGAGCAGTATAATGCAGGTGAAGCTTGTTTGGTTAGAAGGTGCCGGGCTTTATCTATAACAGCCAAACATCTGCCCAGCTTTGACCAGACGTGCTGTTTTTTTCCCTTCCAACTATAGCAGCTTTGCATTTTTCTCCCCTCGTACTGTTGCGCAATAGGTGGGAGGACGGAGGGCTCGTGATGAGCGTGCGGGTGCATGTCATCGCCACGGTGAGTAATGATGGCAGCCGGGCAGAGACAGGGGACGATAAAACCTCATATTCGGCTCAGGAGAAGGAGATGATATCTAAAAACTAACCTTCCCACAGCAGGCGTTCGCAGGAAAATGTGCCGGGTTTCTAACAGACACTTTCTCGATCACACATCTGGAGGTTTCTAACAAGTGTGAGCTTCACTTTGCGTTGGAATTAATTAGCTGCCTGAATTTCATCAGTTAATTATCAAGATCCAGGCAATTATTAAGTTTTCCCCATGACAGCGCGATCTAAGTATAAATAGCTGCCACAGACACCACAAAATCTATGATGTCAATCCCTGATAAACGGACAAACAGTTCATTATCGGCCCAGCTCGGCTGAAGATCCAAGCTTTTTGAGGTTTAAACTTTTCTAAGGATGGGAGACATTTCTGTGCGTGTAACTCATCTCAATCCAAGGGCAGACATCAGTTCTTAGCAGAACCGAGCTCGTTAGCCAAAATGAAAAGCTAGCCGAAAAGCACCAATCGCCCTTAAAGAGGGATTGTTCGGTATTCAAAGGGTTCTGCTCAGGATGTGTGTGTAAAACTCCTCGTGTGGTGTTCGGGTGTGGTTTCTTACTAAAAGAAAAATGATACAATGAATTCATTTTTCAAACTGAGACTCACTGGTTTTGGCTCATTTTCTGTGAAGAACAAATATCAGAATACATATTTAATGCCCACACACCGTACACATTTCTAATACATACAAGATGTCCGGGTCCACTGGAAAAGCTAAAAGAAGTGTGGAAATTGATGTTCTGTGTACCACACACACACAACCTTGTGTCTGCAGGTGCACAAACACAAAAGAAACAGTTCCCACACATTGTTAGTCTGCTCTAATTTTCTGTCTATCTGCAAAAAATTGGGGGCGGGGCCACACTGGCTCAGAGACATTGGAATGAGGGCATTGAAATTGATTTTGGATGAGAGAGAGAAGTTAAGAAAAGGTCAACATCTGTTCAGTATTTTAATATAAAAGTGTTTGATTGTGAGGCATTAAAAGCCACAAAATGCAATGGGTCCGTCAGACCCACAAACACTGGCTGAGTAACAACAATATGAACATCACACGAGGGTTTGTGCGATACTGTTCGGTATTTAAAGGGGTTCTGCTCAGGATGTGTGTGTAAAACTCATAAATACGGGCGTCTGAGTTATGCGAGTCGCATTCGGCCCCATCAGGCGTAATTTCTGTTAAACATGGCAGGCTGTAACGCGGCTAAAAAGGCTAAAAGAAGTGTGGAAATTGATGTTCCGTGTACCAAACACACTCACACACAACCTTGTGTCTGCAGGTGCACAAACACAAAAGAAACAGTTCCCACACATTGTTAGTCTGCTCTAATTTTCCGTCTACCTGCTAAAAATTGGGGGAGGGACCACACTGGCTCAGCTTTGCCAGAGTGGTTTCTTATAACCGATCAAAATGGCCGACCGGTTCTCTGCCCAGAGGGCCCTGGAATTGATTTTGGATGAGAAAGAGAAGTTAAGAAATGGTAAACATCCGTTCAGTATTTTAATATAAAAGTGTTTGATTGTGAGGCATTAAAAGCCACAAAAAGCAACGGGTCCATCACAACAATATGAACATAACACGAGGGTTTGTTCGATATTGTTCGATATTTAAAGGGGTTCTGCTCAGGATGTGTGTGTAAAACTCATAAATACGGGCGTCTGAGTTATGCGAGTCGCATTCGGCCCCATCAGGCGTCATTTCTGTTAAACATGGCCGGCTGAAACGCGGCCCTGTGATGAATATTTCACCCACTGAGCCGAGCGAACGTCGTATTAACGCCACGCTGCTGCTGCTGTGGGAAATAAAGAGAAGAGGACAGCAGATTCCTCAGGAGAAAATTAAAAGTCTCTGCGTTTTCCTCCCTCAGGACGAGCGGGTGGTCAGAAAACGTGTCGATCTCCTTCATTAGAAAACCAAAAATAGCCCGTGCAGTGCATCTCTCCCTGCTCACCGAGGAGGCAAATGTGCACTAAATTCCAGATTTATGGGTTAGAAGTGGGGCCACCCGTCATCCTCTGCAAGCTGGGGCTTTGGAAACGACACAAAATCTGATTTAACCCACAAACGCTCTATTTGAGGCTTAATGTTTTCCGAAAGACAGGGTGATCAGGGGTAAATTTAGCAGCAGAGCTGTGGAACATAATGTGCAGACTGAGAACTTTGTGGAAGATTTTGGTGCATTTCCAACAGCGGCCTGTCTTTAACTTTAACTTTTTAACAAAAATAGGGATCCGTCTATGGTTTGTTGTCATTATTTATGGCTTCCCATCTCTGGATTTGGCTCAAATGGGGAAAGACGATTACAATTTTCCTCAAGACAATAAGTATTCAAATATAATCAACAAAAAAAGGGCTCCAATTGTCTTTAATGTGTCAAGGATTCTACAGGAAAATGTAAATTTCATTGTGCAGGACAGACTGACATTTGCCTCGCGAGTTTTTGAATATTTATGGGAGCTCGGATGTGCACATGGTTTTCTTTTTGTTTACCAAAGCAAGCAGGAATAAATTTTGTGCTAAGCAGAGGAAAAAACAAGCCTACATTTTTCTCAAAGACAAACAGGACCTGCCTCCAAGTCCCCTTAATTAGAAAACTGGGGAAATTTTGATAAACTGACAGCCTGGCCATAGTGAAAATAACTCAAACGCACCAACAATGGACAAATGAGTCTATCATCAGGGTACAAGTGGGGCGGAGGTATCCTATCGTGTCTTTTTGCTGTGTTTTACTGAATTTTTCAGGCTGAAATCTGCAGCACACCTGCAGAGGAACGCGCAAAACAATGAAATAATGAATCATTGTGGAGAAGGGGCCTCTCTCCAAACACTGAATAGCCCTTCTTATTGTTTCTAAATTCAATAGCTGGCCCCTCCCCTTTCCAGCGCCTCTTTTTATTACTCGTCTCATTTATTGCTGCGCTGGGTCTGTTGATATCGGCCTCTGCAAATGAAGTTTTTGCAACAAAGGTTATTGAGATAAGACCATGGGATCCTGGAGGATGAGTGGCGTCAGAAAGAGGTAATTGGCTCCTTGAGTGTTGGATCAGAGGAAGAGTTACAGCACTTTTTAGAGGCATAAACCGGCCTCCCCGCTCAGGTTTTTCCCCTCATGTAACCACATCGCTCCGTCATCCTCAGCTCTACGTTTGATCTTCCTAAAGGTTTAAACTCTCTGGTGGGAACAAAACACATCCTCCCCCACCAGGCGTCATTAAACTTTCATCACAGGTGGGCGGGGCACACACAGATTTTTACCCAAATCAGGATATTCTCGTTTTTAGAGTGATTTTACAAGTAATAAAAGCTGACTGACGGCCGATTTTCAGACAGAAATATATAAGATAAATTCATATATTACCTATATTACCTAATGACCTAATAGGGAGTCTTTATAAAAATGTATTTACTACCATCTTTCTGCTCTGTTTAGCTGTTTATAAACCAAAGCGATCCCCAAATTTTGAGTTTGTCCTTCTAAGTGAAGCCGTTTCCAGTTTATGAACATACGAGTTTCCACTTTTCTCCTTAATATCTTCAGTAATAGAGCTCATTTAGTGGAAATCAGAGCTTATTCTGGCGAGAAAAAAGCAGAAAGTGTGAGTTTTTCCTCTCTGGTTCTGATCAGAGGCTCACGGTAAGATGGAAAACCACCGACTGCTGCATGTCAGAGTTCCTTGGGATGCAGATCTGAAACCGTTTCAACTATATGTGTCATTTTCAGTCTAATATGGAAGAAAACCAAAGTGAGGACAGATTCAGTCTGGAAACGGGTAACTCTGAAAGCGAGAACAGGGATGTCCGGCCTCTTTTGGGCCTCCTTCTTCCACGTGAATTCCCCCATGTTCATTTGTACATTCAGATCTATATTTTTAAAGATTGTATTTTTCAGTTTAATCATTTCTGTCCTATATTTTTATTTCTACATTTTATTTCTTGCTTCTCATAGAAGTGTTGTGTTGTGCACCAAACACCAAGGCAAATTCCTTGTAAGTATAAAAACCTACTTGGCAATAAACCTTATTCTGATTCTGATTCTGATTCAAAAGTAGGAACTAAAACTTCTGGCCCAGTCTAGTCCTTCGTGTATATATTTGTCTGCTCATCCTGTGTCCTTTTTCTCGGATTTTCCTTTTCTTATGGTTCCGTATTTGCTTTCCTGGGCACAACCTGTACTTTTTTTTTTATTTTTATCTTTTTTTATTTTTTATTTTTTAGGTGTAGCAGAATGCATCTTAATTTTTATCTATTTCAAAACTTTTTTGTGTGCGTGTGTCCTTTTTCTTATGACTTTTTCTTATTGCCTGGGACTGATTGGAGCTCGTTTTGTTGTCTTTTTTGTTTTGTTCTTATAACTCAAGGGAATTGTATGGTTTGTTTTATATGCATCACATTGTAAATGTATGGCTATGCAATTCTTGTCAAAAACCAAATAAACAAAGTTTAAAAAAGTAGGAACTAAAACGTTTTACCTCCTCTGGCCGGCCCAGAGCCGGAGTCCCGGTGAGCAGCACGGCGCGTTTGGCGCTCTGAATCAGAGGAACCAGGATCTTGGTGCGCGCGGCGTTCCTGGATTTGAGGTAGTGGGACTCGTCCACCAGCACCACGGCGAAGCGCTGCCTGCCCAGAGCCTCCACCAGGGGGCGCGCGTCCGCGGCCAGCAGGCCGTAGCCCAGCACCGTGACCTTACTGCTCCCGATGGCCCTGAAAGCACCACAGCAGACTCTGAGTCACACACCAGATCATGAGGAGTGCCTCCATCCTCAATTAGCCACCGCTCTGCGTTTCCCGGATCACCGGTTTCATTATCGGTCCGATAAATTCACGGGGAGCTCCCGAAAAAGCAAAGATGACATCCAGCAATGTGACAAATACAGTAGGGGAAATAAGTATTTGACCCCTTGCTGATTTTGCAGGTTTGCCCACTTACAAAGAATGCAACGATCTATAACTTTAAACATATGTACATTCTAACAGTGAAAGACAGAATCCCAAAGAAAATTCCAGAAAATCACATCATATGAATTTATAAAAATTGATAACCATCTGATGGTATGTAAGTGGGCAAACCTGCAAAATCAGCAAGGGGTCAAATACTTATTTCCCCCACTGTAAGCCGAGAGCCGTTCTCCTGCAAAAGCATCGGACTTTAAAATCCTATGGAATAAATGTTTGCTGAAAACTGTAAATAATACATCAACAAAAGAACTAATTTCCCTCTGGGATTATTAAAGTATTTCTGATTCTGATTCTGAAAATCAACAGGTTTAAAAAGTAGATGAGTAAAGATTTATTAACAGTAAAGTAAATTAGAAAAGGTCTTTCTATAATAAAAAATAGCCCAAAAAAGGAGGAATTATTAAAATATATATTTTTTTAGTCTACACGTAGATCATTTAACAACAGTTTTATCTAGACATTTGGCTTTTTAGCTTAAAAATCGCACAGTTGCAGCTTTCCCAGGCATTTCAAAGAGTTACCTAAACTACTGCTCATCATAAGGAGGAGAAATGAAGGAAAGGGAGCTAAATCTGTCACTTTATCAGCAGCTTTTGTGGCTTCTGATTAAGGTGGAGTTCACATGATCTGATGAGCTTGATGTGCGATAAATCACATGCTCACACTGCAACTGATTAAAAATCTATTTAAAAATCAAAACTGGCAAACAAAGACTAACGAATCAGTTGAAGTTTTGTCTTTTGTCTCGTTCCCACAGGACTCCTGCATCACATGTCCTTAAACGACAATAAAATGATAAATAAATGTTTTCTCTGTTCTTTTTCGTGTTTTGCTAACTTTTGATGGATTTTATAGCACTCAGATATAAGAAAATACTGAATATTAGGGGTTTATTTCAGCTGGGATGTGCTGCTTTTAGCAGTAAATGGTTTAAAAATGGACATTTCCTGTTAAAATGTAATGCTGTGTTAAGTCACCTGGCAGTCTGGAGCCATATGGGACAAACAGGTGGGTGTCTTTGCCTTTGGGTGAATGAACACTTAAAGCATCAATTGATTGGTTTATGATCTGAATGTCTTGCCCTTTAGTGCTGAAGATCCATTCAAATACATTTTTAGATATGTTTGCAATCCCGAGAAAACAAGGACACTCCAACCTGCAACAAATCAGCGCTGTTTCCTAAACACACAAAAGATCACATCAGCAGCCTGAAACCTAAAAGCATAAAGAAAAAACCTAAATAAAGCTAAACCAGATAGATAGATAGATAGATAGATAGATAGATAGATAGATAGATAGA